AGGACCTCCTGCTGTGAGCAGAGACTGCTTCCAAAGGCTGCCTTGCACCACTGAAGACCCTAAGGGCAACAACCACTCCACCCTCATCATTTTTTTCTCAGCTGGAGGCTAGAAACAAGCTGCCACGTGAACTATGTAAATGATGAAAGCCGGGCGAATTAGGAAAGCACAACAAACCCTTTCTTTTCCAGTTTATAGGAGTTCTTCCCTGCTCTTCCCTGGAGGTCTCCTTCAAGATCCATGGCGACCTAGGGAGAAACCACAGCCTGTCAGCCAAACGTGCAGCCTGCCTGGGAGCACGGAGGCTCCGAACTCTGCGGCGGAGCCCGGGGTGGGGGGTGAGCGTGCTCGCCCGGATTCTGCACCGCTGAAGCCTGGATGCTGGTGGTGTGTGTGTCAGGGGTCCTGTGGCTGAGCCTCCACTTACAGGCGAGCGGACTCCCCCGGCTCCCCGCCTCGCTCCAGTCCCGGCGGACGCCCCAGCCTGGTTCGAGGCTCCCAGGCCAGGTCCCTGACCGCTGTGGAGCGCGCTAGGGGCAGCGGGACCCAGTGCACGGGATTCGCGCCGAAATCTACTGGCCTGGACTACTCCCGGAGCTTAGGGCGCCTGGAGAAGTGACCCCGCGGGGGCCCCAGGACGTCCACAGCCCCGCCATCCAGGACGCCCTTCTTCCAGGTGGACTACATTGCGTAGACTGACCGGCACGGGAACTCGGCCTTCCGACCCTAACTGCGTGCACCTTACCTCAGGCTCCCCGGGGGAATTCCCCAGGACGCGAGCTTCGGGGGCAGAGCGCGACTGCAGTGCCAGTGGGGCAGATGCGGGCAGAAACCTGCACTCTGAGAAGCCGGGGTGAGAGTGTGCCTGGCTTCTTCTAGGACGCGAGCGAGGTAACAGAGAACGAGTCGCACCTGGGTGTGGTTAGGTCCGGCTGACGCGGTCTGGCGGGGCTCCTTCCGCCCCGCGGATATAATCTGGGGCTGGATTTCCAGGGGTCCCTGGGTTCTTCCGCCCTTCTTTGAAGGGTGTGTGAGTCATCAAGAACGAGGTGTATACGTGTTCACAGAAGTCTCCAAACTTTAAGAGGTCATATATAGATGCGAAATTGGCTCCCAGAGTCTGGAAAGGCTAAGGGAACTGTTCTCTGACATCACGTCTAATACAATTCATAATATAACATGGGGGCTACCCATCCTGTACTTAAATCTTCCTCATCAACACCTCTAAAAATGCAATGAGAAACTTTTGCGCATGAGTCTTTTTTCAGTGTTTCGTGGTGTATCTCTGCATTTTTAGAGTAAGTAGGAGAAAATTAAAAGGAAGATTTTTGACTGTAAATAGAAATGAGAAATTCAGGGTAGAAATGTTATTTAAAAGAGCATCTATATTTTTAAAGTTCAGTTGTCAAATTAATGCCCATGCTCCCCCAGAGCATTTTAAAGCACTACTTTAAGATTTTTAAAAAAGATATTTTAACGTATGACTTTAGTAGTAATTTCTTTGTATTATGTCTTTCAACACTCAATATTTTCTCTTGTCCACTGTATTCTTTTTTTTTTTTTTTTTGGTACCGGGGATTGAACTCAGGACCCTGCGCTTGTAAGGTAGGTGCCGGAATCACTGAGCTAAATCCCCGGCTGTCCACTGTATTCTTAAAAAGAAATAAAAGTAACTGCAAATTTCACAATTCTACTTCAGAAAGCATAAATTAACATCAGAGCTTTTCATGCTTCTTATAAACACAGAGTAAATAGTTCTTTGTAACATCTAGTCTATATATGCTTTCACACATTCTGGCCTTTCAGCTTCCTACAAACGTTGTGAAGAAGAGAAACCTCATTTATTACAGTATAGTGTAAGGTATAAGTTTTTAAAAATAGCATACTTCAGAACCATAATTTTCTATTTTTTACTCGTAATTTTCATTGCCTAGATTTTTTCTTTACTGGATAGTCGCTTTTTTCTAACATGCCATTTTTTCCCCTCTCAGTTCTAATTGGTTTCAGCATGGGTTCACTGTTTAAAGGGTTACCCTGTGACCCATCTGGGCAAATGTACAAGCTTTCATCTTAATCACATCCATTTTTACTTCTATTTACGCTTCTACTCTGTTTCCACTGTATCCCATTATCCCACCGTTAGTTTATGCAGTCCTGTTACATTATATGTACCCTTTTGAATGGCCTGAAATCCTCTGTAAAGTACCGGGGCATGGTTTTTAAAGTATGATAGCATGCTGACCATATTATTTCAAAAGTCATAGGCATTAAGTGAAGATCTCTGTCAAGGACATATCTAGGTTAAGGATCACAATAGCCAGAGATTTTTAAATAAGGCTCTACCATTGAATTATTTTTTGTTTCTTTGTCCCAGTGACGTGCAAATATGAAATAAAATATGACAAACCTAGACAATGGCTAGTCCTGCCTTTGCTACTTCCACGCCACAGTCCTTGGCTTATTTCAAGACATTTGTCTTGCATTACTGCCCACCACTCTTACCAAGCTGGTCTGAGTAGTTTCTCCCCAGCCTCATCAATCTCCAGGGAAATTCAATCACCTCCCTTCCAAGCTGTCACACAGCGTCATCCAAGCAGCTACTCCTACTCCTTGAAGTGCGCATCTCCACAGCCTGCATTTTCCCACCTCCCACCCTCCACCCTCAGTAGTCACTTCACCCACTTGCTGGCATCTTCTCAGCGATGAAGACTGGGTCTCTGCTACACTCTGTCCTATATATTCTGGTTGGAATAATGATAGTGATAAAACTAACATTTACAAATCTTTGCTATTACACATGTACAGTACACAGTGTTTATATTCATCTTAGGTAATATATAACGTATCTTAATTTTTCTTATTTGCCTTCTCTTTCCTTCCCTTCCTACTCTCTCCAACTCTAGATTCTCTTCTCCCAATGTTTTTAATTCATATTTGTGATACATAATGATTACATGGATTGTGGTGAGTTGGTCCATGTACATGACACATCTCAATTCTTTTAGTGTATCCTTCCCCTCCATACCCCATGCTCCATCTCTGGTCCCCCTTTCAATTTGCAAAAGATCTATCTTCCTGTTTCCTATTATCTATTTTGCTCTTTAATTTATTTATTCTTTGAGTTTCTTGTATAAGAGAAAAAATATGATATTTACGCTTGTATGTCTGATTTATTTCACTTAACATTATGATCTCAAGATGCTTCCATTTTCCTACAAAGTACTCAAGTAGTATTTCTCTTCATGGTAGAGTACACTCCATTGTGTATAAATGTCACATTTTCTTTATCCATTTAGCTGTTGATGGGCAAATAGGCACTGATCATGTAACCCTCCCAAGAGATTCAAGGAGAGTAATTAATTTTTTTTTTTTTTGGTACCAGGGATCGAACTCGGGACCTTGCGCTTGAGAGGCAGGCGCCAGAACCACTGAGCTAAATCCCCTGCCCGAGAGTAATTAATTTATCCTTATAAGGACCCTATGAAGTGATGAATGTTACTGTTATTCACATTTTAGAGTGACACTGAAGTTTTTAGTTCTTCACCAAAAGCACACAGCCTGTAAGCAGTTTACTCAGTCTTTGTCCCTGCTCTAACAGCCTTCCTTTTCCCAACAGGATTTTCTTCATAATAAAACAACTAAAATCCTGTCACTATCCCTTGGCTCCCCCCTCACTCAGAGCCAAATGCAAAGTCCTTCCAATCATGGGGAAGACTCTGCATAAT